TTGTTGATTTGAGTTTTTAATTCGAGTTGAAATGTGACTTTATGTGAGAATTTTTTATTGTAATAAAAAAGTTAAATGTAACTGTTTCTGAGAGTTTTTTACTGTAACAAAACTCGAATTAACTGGGTAGAGTCATATAAGATTAAGTATCACAATTTAAGAAAATCATAACAAAATTTGAGGGTTAAAAACTGTATAATATAGACCAGATATTCTTCCATACTGCAGTGGATAACTCTTCCATTGACAATATAAACAAACTGTTACAATGTGATAACTATATATCATAATGTTAAGTTCTCAAACATGTTTAAGTTTCCAGGGCTGAAACATGTTTAAGTTTCAATGGCCTGTTTAGTTCGTTAATTTAAGTTTAGATGTGACTTTATATGAAAATTTTTTATTATAATAAAAAAATTAAATGTGATTATTTTTAAGAATTTTTTAGGCTGAAACATGTTTAAGTTTCAATGACCTGTTTAGTTCGTTAATTTAAGTTTAGATGTGACTTTATATGAAAATTTTTTATTATAATAAAAAAGTTAAATGTGATTATTTTTAAAAATTTTTTACTATAATAAAATTTAAATTTTAAACTCAAATCGGTGAATAATTACGCTACGAAACTGGCTGGCTTCGGAAAGAGATAAAGTGGTTCTCAATGTCGGGCTGGTATTTTTTTTTTTTTTTTGAAAGGATAAGGAATGGTATTAGGTACTTTATTAAACAAAAAATGGAAAAAGAAAAAAAATATATTAACCACTCATAAGATAATTAGAAGGGTAGTTTTGTAATAAAGTAGAAAAGTGGGTCATTTTTGTAGGAGTAACATATCCCGTATAGACTATAACGTAAGAGTCAAGACCAAAGAGGAGTTGCACATCCAACCGTATGTTATACGTATGTATAGTCTCTCTCTCTCTATATCTATCTTATCTGTGTGTTTTTATTTTTATTTTTTGACTTTCTACGTTTAAATCTTTCTCTTTCTCTCTCTGGGAGCTTTTCGTTGAATGACTGACTATTCCATAATCCTACCGTTTTCTCATTTTATTACCATTTAAATTAACACCAAACCAAACCCGGAAATTCTTCTTCCTTTCTCATCTTCTCCAATACATATCTTCAAATCATTTTTTTTTCCTTTAATTATTTAATTATTATTCTTCTTATTTTACTGGTCCGTTTCGAAACCATTAAAAGCTCTCTCACAAACCTCACCGGTTTCGAACCTAACAAACGCACATTTATAGTTTCACATACATATATACAAACACACACATACATACATACATATATATATATATATATAATATAAGTATATACCCACCCGCCTCTTCATTCTCTTTTCTCCTTAATTTCTCTAAACTCTGTATTTATTGTTAAAATCTAACTTACACTCTCACATTAATCTTTTTCTTTGGATAAGTCTCTCTCCGTCGGCTCTGTTCTTCTCTTCTTCTTTGTTTCTGTATGTTTTCTTTAACATTTTGGTCTCCCTGAAGTCTTTTATTAATTTTTTTTTATTTTTCTTTTAATTTTCGGTTCAGGCTTCAAAGGGTCTTTCCGTTTGGTTTCCAAGAAAGTTTGTGAGAAATGAGCACTTGGGTTTTTGTGGGTTGTTGGAGATGAAATACTCTGTTCTTTTCCTTTCATTTCTCGGAAGCCAAACAAGACTCCGTTTTTCGTTTTTTTTTAAAATTATGTTTAAATTTTTTTTTTTGTTTTGTTGCAGGATATTACTCTGTTACCGTTATCACGAAATTTTGTAGAAGCTGGATCAGTGATCTCATTTTCAGGTTAAACTTTTTCTCAGACTATTCGAAATTTGGAAATCTTTCTCTTTTTCTTTCATTCTTTCGTTTTCATTTTTCTTTCCCTTTTCAATTTCTTGCTCTGTTTGTTTGCGTAGAAACTTTCTCCTTCGCTCTGTCTCTCTGCTTTTTCTTTATTGATTTGATTTGGTCCGTACATATTCTGCATTCCCAATCTTTGAAGAAAAAACCTTTTCTTAAGCAGAAGAAGAAACGTTTCAGAAACGAATTTTTAGAGAACGAGAAAATATTTGGTATTAAGGTCCTTCATTTTATGGATTCGAATTTAGAATTCAAATTTTATTAGGATAAAAAACTCTCAAAAATAATTATATTTAATTTTTTTACTACAGTAATACATAAATTTACGTATCAATTTTAATTAAAAACTCAAATCAGCGAACTAAACAGGTGAGTTCTTCCTTATTGTTGTTTTTTTTCTTAATTTTTTTTTTAATTTTTAAAATTCTTTTGAGTGTGGATGTCAATAATAATTATAGATAAGGTTGAATACCATCATCAATAACGAATGTGGGATATTTTTGCATTAATTGAGAATTATTCTTTCTGGCCCTTATTTGTGCAGAGAATCTCGATGTGAGCCTGATTTAGTATTGGTATTTATCAAGAAATTAAATCTTTTCCATTATTTGGATTTTTTTTGAATTAAAGTTCTCTATGATAGTTATAATAATAATAATAATAATAATAATAATAATAATAATAATAAAA